TCCCATGTGGACGCCAGTTCTAATCCCGGCAGCCCCGCTTCCCATCCAGCTCCCTGCTTGTGGCCTGGGAAAGCAGTTGAGGACAGCCCAAAGCCTTGGGACCCTGCACCCACATGGGAGACCTGGAAGAGGAAGCTCCTGGCTCCTGGTTTTGGATCAGCTCAGCTCCGGCTGTTAGGGCTGCTTGGGAAGTGAATCATCGGACAAAAGATCTTCCTTTCTGTCTCTCTTCCTCTCTGTATATCTGACTTTGCACAATAAATAAATAAATAAATAAATAAATAAATAAATAAAAAGAAGAAGTAGAAGAAGAAGAAGCCAAAGAGAAAGGTACCTGGTTTTAACTGAAGCACCAGGCTGCTCCACCCAGAGACGCTCACTTCATCAGAACCAATGGGAAAGAACCTGAGCGGATGGAGCCCATTCCCTATGAATTCGTGGCATAATAAGTGAAAGAAAAAATAAAAGAGCTCTGGATTGTAATTAAACAAATATATATATATTTTTTATTGCAAAGCAGATCAGATTTATGGAATGAAGAGGAGACAGAGAGAAAGATCTTCCATCTGCTAGTTTACTCTTCAAATGGCCACAACGGCTAGAATTGAGCAAATCCCAAGCCAGGAGCTTCTTCTGGGTCTCCTACAAAGTTGCAAGGCCTTGGGCCATTCTCCACCGCTTTCCGAAGCAATAAGCAGGGAGCTAGATGTTAAGTGGAGTAGCTGGAATACAATCGGTGCCCAGATGGGATCCCTGTGCTTTCAAGGTGAGGATTTAGCTACTGCACCATCACACTATGCCCTTTCTTTGCCTTTAAATAAATCTTGTTGGTCTACTTACCTTTCTCTCTGTCTGCTTGAATTCTTTCTTCATGGAGCCAAGAGCATGAACAGCCAGGACTTGAACTGTCACTCTGATATGGGGCCCAGGCCTGCTTCCAGCCGGGAGAACAGTAGCAACTGATGCACTTTGGCATGGTCTATGATGTAGCTACTGTTTCTAAGATAAGTTATTTAAATCTTTTTAAAATATTGATTTATTTGACAGCATTGCAGAGAGGAAGGCATCTTGGGACGATCTCTCTAGAGCACCACTTCGGTTTCCAGCCTGATAACATTGGCTAACAAAACCTTGGTTGGAATTTTATATATTTCTCACTCAGCAAACCCTTTACCCAAGAGAAGAGGGAGGTAGAGAGACAGTGAGAAGGACTGGACCCCATGCCGTTATAGGCCCCAGTCTGAATGCAGACCACACTCTCAGTTCTCAGTGTTTTCCTGGTCAGCCAGGTATGTTCTTTCCATTAAATTCTGCACTCTGGCTTTCCCGTCTGACTGGTGAGGCATTGTATCCCAGGTTCCGTGTGGAGATGAGCCCATCTGTTCTGATGGATGCCCTACCCCACTCATCCCAGATACGTGGGTTGCTGCTGCTTCTCTGTCTCACATCTGAATTCTTTGTTTCATGAAGACAAAATCCTTATCTCACCAGTTTTCACCAGCACGCCCCAATCTGTCTACTCTGACCTTCACTGTTGTGTCTCAGGGGCTGTTTCCTGAATGAGGAGGAACAAAGAGGCACATGGGAATACTTTCCTTGGTTATGACAGCTGCACCGATCACATAGGGGACCTTGTTCTTAGGACAAAAAGAGCCAAACACTACGGGGTAAAGTGCATGGAATCTGCAGCCAGCTTTCCTATGATTCCAAACCAGATCTACATATATGTATTTATAGGGAGATCAGGCAAGCATGACCAAGTGTTCATGTTTGTTGAGAAGTAAAGGATATTGTTGCATATTTGTGCAGATATGAACATTTCCAGGGGTCAGCGTCATGGCTCAACAGACCAATCCTTAACCCTGCGGCACTAGCATCCCATACAGGCACCTGTTCAAGTCCTAGATGCTCCACTTTCCATCCAACTCTCTGCTTGTGGCCTGGGAGAGCAAGGGAAATGGCTTAGGATCTTGGATCCCTGCACCCATGTGGGAGACCTGGAATAGGCTCCTGGCTCCCAGCATTAGATCATATCAGCTGGCTATTGTGAATGAATGAATGAATGAATGAAAAACCTTCTCTCTCAGTATTTCCTTATCTCTGCAAACCTGCTTTTCAAATACAAATAAATCTGTAAAAAAAATTCTAGGCCTAATGCAGTAGCCTAGTGGCTAAGGTCCTCACCTTGTGTGCTCTAGGATCCCGAGTGCGTACCAGTTCATGTTCCACTGCTCCACTTCCCTTCCAGCTCCTTGTTGTGGCCTGGGAAAGCAGTGGAGAATGGTCCAAAGCCTTGGGATCCTGCACCTATGTGGGAGACCTGGAAGAAACTCCTAGCTTCGGATCAGTTCAGCTCTAGCTATTGTGGCTGCTTGGGGAGTGAATCAGCAGTTGGAACATCTTTCTCTCTGTCTCTCATCCTCTCTGTATATCTGATTTTTCAAAATAAATAAATATTCTTTAAAAAATTCTATTATACAATAATCTAGCCTTTTAGACCCGGCAGACATTTTTCCAGCAGTGTCTAGCCTTGTTGCTGATGACTGCAGACACTTGTCCCATGCCCCAGCACAATGACTCAATTGCTAAATTGCTAAATCCTCACCTTGCAAGTGTCAGGATGACCCAAAGCCTGGGGATCCTGCAGCTGTGTGGGAGACCCACAAGAAGATCTTGGCTCCTGGCTTCAGACTGAACACACAGAGATTATCCAAGTTCACAGTGTTTCAATGAAAAGTGAAGGCTTACTCTCTTCCCTGTCTTTTAAGTACTGTGGCATGCTGCTTTATCTGTATCTCTGTCCACCAGTGATCTCACCACAAACAAAAACTTCAAGCTGTCATATACAGAGAATTGCATTATTGATTGCAGATAATATCTTCCTAGGGATGGGCATTATTGAACAGCCCAGTGACCACTTGACATGCCTGTGTCGAGTGCAGTTCAAGTCCTGGCTGCTTCGCTTCTGATCCAGCAGAGGATGAGCTGAGTGGCTGAGAGGATGCTCCTGCTACCTGCTTGGGAGACCCTGAGTTACCGGCTCCTGGTTTCAGCCTGGCCTCATGCAGACTATTGGAGGATTTCAGGTGAACCAGCACATGGAAAATTCCTTTTCTCCCTCTTTGTCACTCTGCCTTTCAAATAAATTAATATATCTTGAAAATTAATATATCTTAAAAAAAACCCTTCAGCATATTGAGATTTGGCAATATAGCAAGTTAGGCTGCTGCCTGCAATGCCGGCATCCCTTACACATGCTAGTTCTCATCCCACTTGCTCTAGCTCTGATCCAGCTCCCTCCTAATGTGCCTGAGGAAGCTGCAGATAATGACCTGAGGGCTTGGGCCCCTGACACTCCTGTAGGAGACCTGGATGGAGTTCAAGGATTTTGGCTTTGGCCTGGACCAACTCTGGCTTTTGCGGCCATCTGGGGGAGTGAACTTGTAGATGGAAGGTCTCTTTCTGTCACCCTTGCTTTGTAACTTTGCCTTTCAAATAAATCAAATCTTGGGCCCAGCAACATGGCCTAGCAGCTAAAGTCCTCACCTTGAACACACCAGGATCCCATATGGGCGCCTGTTCTAATCCCAGTAGCCCTGATTCCCATCCAGCTCCCTGCTTGTGGCCTGGGAAAGCAGTTAAGGATGACCCAAAGCCTTGGGACCCTGCACCCATGTGGGATACCCGGAAGAAGTTCCTGGATCCTGGCTTCAGATTGGCATAGCACCGGACGTTGTGCTCACTTGGAGAGTGAATCATCGCATGGAAGATCTTCCTTTCTGTCTTTCCTCCTCCTCTCTGTATATCTGACTTTGTAGTAAAAATAAATAAATCGTAAAATAAATAAATAAAATCTTATATATACATATACATACATACATACACACATGTATTGAACAGTGGGCCAGCATTGTTGTGCAGCAACCTAAGCTAAGCCTCTGCCTGCAAAGCTGGCATCACATATGGATGCCAATTCTAGTCCTAGTTGCTCCACTTCTGATCCAGCTTCCGGCTTATGCTCCTGAAAAAGCTGCAAGGCATGGCCCAAGCTGCTTTGGTCCCTGTACTCACGTGAGAGACCTGGAAGAAGCTCCAGGCTCCTGGCTTTGGCCTGGCTCAGCTCTGGCTGTTGCTGCCTTTTGCGGAGTGAAGCCAAAGATGGATGGAGGATCCTCTCTCTGTAGATCTGCCTTTCAAACAAAAAATAATTTAAAAAAATCAACATATACATAAATCAGGAAACTCTGTCTCGACTAGACTTCTTCTAATTTGTGAGGAACTCAAGAACAATATTACCTCAGTACTCACTAAAAAATCAGTTCGTGGGATGCAGTGAAGAGGTGCACAGCCGCGCGCGGCCCCTACGCGGCGCTGTCCGCACCTCAGGGCCAGGCCTGCGCCCCTGGGGGCGGAGTCGGCTCCTGAGCTGGCAGGGACCCGCCCCCATGCACGGCGCGTGCGCGGCGCTGCCGGGCCCCACCCCGCGCAGCTCGGGCTCCCGCCTCCAAGCAGGTAGAAGGGGCGGTGGGGGGGGATGGGCGGTACCTGAGGGCGGGGCCGGCCGGGAATCTCTAGGATCTAGGGGTCTAGGACCTCTGGGACATCGGGGGTGTCCTTGTGAGCGAACCTTAACTTTCAGAAGCATGGCTCTTCCGAGGGTAGAGCGCAGTTTCTGGGTCTGGGGGCTGCCGGGGAGCAGCACGTGCCCCTGCGTTTGTAGCACCAGCCTTGTGGCCTGCGCCCCGGTCCCCAGAGGCTCCCACCCCGGAGTGACCTGGGCGGCTTGAGGACGCCCGGCCTGGGCGGGTGCCGAGAACCTCCGCCTGTCCAGCCCGTCTCCCCCCTCGGCGTCCGGCCGGATCCTGGCATGGTTACCCTCTGGGCGTCAGAAGCGAGGGGCCTCAGGGAGACTACGTGCGGTCGCCTGCACCGCGGCGCCTACGCCTTTCTGCTCCAATTGCTTTCCCAGCCTAGTTGGGGGGGAGGCGAACTGGAAAGCAAGGCAGCTGGACACTTGCGGCCCCAAGCCGGCCGATGGCCTGCCCGCCCACTGCCCGCTCATCTCTGGGTTGGATGCCAGACCCGTAGCCTGTAGCCAGACGGGCGGGAAGCCCAGATGGACTCTGCAAGGTAATAGGGAATCGGAGGCAGCTCCCAGTGGCCTTCCGCCAGGACCTCAGCCCTTGGTGGGGGCTTTCTGCGGGACTGTGGGGGCCCGCGTGAGGGGGCTCCCCTGTTGGACAATTCTGCATCTTCTTCTGTATATCCACGGTTTCCGTTATCCAAGGTCAACTGAGGCTGGAAAATATCAGATGGAAAATTACAGAAATAAGTATTTTGTATTCACTCCAGTATATTGCAATCATCAGTTTATCAGTTACTGTTGTTAATCTCTTGCTGTACCTCAGTTAATTTATCCTAGATGTGCAGGTATGGGAAGAAACAGTACTTTAGAGTTTTGGTGATATATCCAGTTTCAGAAATCCACTGGGGTCTTGATATCCCCCCTCCCACCAAGGGGGAAGCTGTTGTGTGAGGTAAGTTACACCTCACTGCCTGCTAGACATTGGGTTTCTGGGGACCTGGGTGAATTCTGGAGCAGAGTGGGTCCACACAAAGAGAGCAGCCTCCCGGCCAGGGGCCCTTGCAGATAAAAGTAATTAGGTTGAGTATTAATCACAGCTGGTTCTCAGGCAGGTGGAGGTGGATGGGACAGCAGACATTCAGGGGACACAGGGAGCTGGCTTGGTTTATAGGCATGCCTCCCTCTGGGACCCCCCATCCCCATCCCCACCCCCAATTTGGCACTGGGTAATCTCTTGTTTTCTTGTCTCCTGTAGGACACCACTGGGTTCCCTGGGAGCCGCCTCAGGCTTAATGATTGTCCAGAAGGCGGCTATAAAGGGAGCCTGGGCGGCTGGGCGGAGGAGGCAGTGGGAGAAACCTAACTCAGCAGATCTGGGCACCAACCGAGCAAGCAAGCCGCGGCTGTAGTCGGACGTTCAGTGTCTTGGCCGGCAGGGCCTGTTCTTGTCTACCATGGCAGCCCAGGGCTACGGCTATTACCGCACAGTGATCTTCTTGGCCATGTTTGGCGGCTACAGCCTGTACTACTTCAACCGCAAGACCTTCTCTTTTGTCATGCCCTCGCTGGTGGAGGAGATCCCTCTGGACAAGGATGACCTGGGTGAGCCCTGGAAGGGTGGGGTGCTGGGCTCAGGGGCATAGAAGCAGCAGGAGCTCTGGATGCCAGTGTGGACAGGCATGTGGCCTGGCAGAAGCTGAGCCAGCCAGCACATGTCAGAGCTCAGGGCCCTCCCTGGGGCATCCTTGTACATGTGAGGAGGGCTGCTTCTCTGGGGTGTGTCAGGGCCTAGAAGCCACCTGCCATCCTTGGAGGCACAGAGGGTCTCAGCAACGCTCCCACACCTGTGTGGGTGCACGCTGAGCCTACAGTGTGGGTGGTGGGTGAGCTGCCACTGTGAGCTCTGGGAACTAGGCAGCTGACAATAACTTTGTGTGGCCTAGCATGGTGCACTTCCAGAGGAGTACGGCCTCTGATGAAATCCTGTAGCCCAGGCTCATATTTGGAAGGGGCCACGGTGCCACTCAGGCCTTGGGTTGGCTTCCAAGTTCTGCTCCCTGCTTGGGCCCTGACAGTGGAGGCAGACCTCTCTCTCTAAGAGCTGGAGAGGAGTCAGAGTGAGGCTGATGCTGAGAGCGAGGTGGGAGTGGGGGCAGAGGTGGCAGGGCCCCAGGGCTGGCTCTTCCTGCTCCCTTGAAGGGAAGAACCTGTCTCATCCTCTCCCCCACCTTGGGGGGAACCTGTCCACACCTGACCCCCTGCCTTCCTCCACCCCTCCTGTGCCTCTGCCCTGCCCCTAACCCTGCAGGTGTCCTGCTGCCCGCTCCCCTCCTCTGCAGGGCTCATCACCAGCAGCCAGTCGGCGGCCTATGCCATCAGCAAGTTTGTGAGCGGGGTGCTGTCAGACCAGATGAGTGCCCGCTGGCTCTTCTCCTCTGGGCTGCTCCTGGTTGGCCTGGTCAACATTGTGTTTTCCTGGAGCTCCACGGTCCCCATCTTTGCTGCTCTCTGGTTCCTTAATGGCCTGGCCCAGGGGCTGGGCTGGCCACCCTGTGGGAAGATCCTGCGGAAGGTGAGCCTGTTTGGATTGGCACAGGGGACACCTTAAGGCACCCCTCCCCTCCCCACCCTGCCCCATGGCAGGTGTCCTCTCAGGCCAGCTCCTGTTGCTTGTCAAGATATTTTAGGAGCCTGTAAGTGGTGGGATCAGGTGGCGGATGAGGGAGTTGGCCATGCCCTCATCCCTTGTAATGCGAGCTGCTAGGTCCACCCCTGACCCCTACCCTCAGCACGGGCTGGAGGCTGGGCACCTACCCTACTCTGTTCCCCTCTGCCCTACAGTGGTTTGAGCCATCGCAGTTTGGCACTTGGTGGGCCGTCCTGTCAACCAGCATGAACCTGGCTGGAGGGCTGGGCCCTATCCTGGCCACCGTGCTGGCCCAGAGCTACAGCTGGCGCAGCACGCTGGCCCTGTCTGGGGCCCTATGTGTGGCCGTCTCCTTCCTCTGTCTCCTGTTCATCCACAATGAACCTGCTGATGTTGGACTCCGCAACCTGGACCCCACCCCTTCCAAGGGCAAGAAGGGTGAGCCACCCACTCAAGCCAAACCACTGAGCACCGGTCCTTGTCATTCACTCGGTGGAATTCTGCAGGCGGGACGCGAGGGCTCTGTGTCCCTGGGAGCATGCTTACCAACGGGAAGGGGTGATGGAGAACAGATGAGGCATCAGTGCAACTGCATCACTAGGAGCAGAGCTGACAAGCACAGCAACTCCTGTCCTAGCCTATTCCTTCCCCAGGATCACACAATTCCCTGTCTCAGGCAGTATGCCATGCCTAAGTAGCTTGTGTTGGCTTGGGAACCTTCTTCCATCCTGGTCTTCGGTTTGTCTTTCATCCAAAAAGGTTGGCTAGGAGTTGAGAGCAGGGGCATGAGGCTGGGGGTACCCTTCACATTGATCCTGACTGTGCTGATGGACTCTGCCCCTAGAGCTGGTTAATGAGTGGTGGGGTGCAGGTCAGAGCAGGGCAGCCAGAGTGGAGCCAAACCTGGTCCTCTTTCTGGTGCAGGCTCTTCGAAGGACGAGAGCACCCTCCAAGAGCTGCTGCTGTCCCCCTACCTGTGGGTGCTCTCCACTGGCTACCTGGTTGTATTTGGAGTGAAGACCTGCTGTACCGACTGGGGCCAGTTCTTCCTTATCCAGGAGAAAGGGCAGTCTGCTCTCGTGGGTGAGAAGAGGGTTGGCAAAGGGGTGGGTGGATGATGGGATACTGATCCCCTTGCTCTGCTGAGGTCAGGCAGGCAATGGCTGCCCACTCAGGGATACCCTCCCCTCCAAATGCCTGTCTGGATTTAAGCCATTGTGACACAACCCCAATGTGTAACTCCATTCCAGGTAGCTCCTACATGAGTGCCCTGGAGGTCGGAGGCCTCGTAGGCAGCATTGCAGCTGGCTACTTGTCAGACCGGGCCATGGCTAAGGTGAGTGGGCAGAGGGGGGACAGGAAGGAGGAAGGTGCCTTAACTCTTTGTAGCGTGGCTGGCCAGGCACTGAGAGATGGAAGCCCTGGGCACAGGGAGGTTGGCAACAGCTGGTGTGGGCTGGGCGGTTGTTAATCCAGGCTCCTCTTATCTTAACCAGGGCCATGGGGGAAAGGGCTTTAGCTGATGTCAGCCAAGCTCTAGGCTTCTCCACAGCCCCTGGGAGAACTGGGCTTGGGGTAGACTTGGTGCAGCTCCCCAGCACGTGCCCCAGGCATGCCCCCAGGGTGGAATTTGGCCTCAGAACGTCATGAGCAAGTCCCAGGGCCTCCCAGAACTGCCCCTGATTGCCAAAGACCTGTCAGCAGGAGCCTGCTGTGCCAGAGTCCAGGGGTGGGGGTTCCATGTCCTGTTCGGCGGGCCTGACGCTGCTGGGACCATCCCCACAGGCAGGGCTGTCTGTATACGGGAACCCTCGCCATGGCCTGCTGCTGTTCATGATGGCTGGCATGACACTATCCATGTACCTCTTCCGGGTTACAGTGACCAGCGACTCCCCAAAGGTAAATCCAGAGGCCCAGGCCTACAGCAGGGGACAGGAGAGAAAGCAGGGGTCACTGGCACGTATCTCCTGCTTCCTGGCTCCAGGCTGGGCAGCTGTCCCTCCTCGGTTCTGTCTGCCCCAGTCCCTGACCTGTCCTTTGAGTGCCCTCCCCCATTTGGGGCCCAGTTTCCTTCTCTTCCTTCTGCTCCTCTAGGATGTTGCTTTCTGGACTCCGGCTCTTCACCCTCTCGCTGAGCTCACAGGCTTTACGGAACATGAGGTGCCTCAGTGACGTCTCTGGGTTCCTTCTGGTCGGACACGCCTTGGTCCTGCCCACTCTGCTTTGGCTCTTGCCATTCCAGCCTGTGCATGTGCCAAGTACAGGCAGTGTCAGCTTCTGCTCCTACTTTCCATGCTCACCTCGGCCCTTGGATTGGCTTTTGTGATACCTGCTATTCTAGCTGTATGCTGTCAGTTATACTGGGGAGAGGAGGACAAGGGTCGCTTACTGTCCGTTTTGCCGTTTGAGGCAGGGGTAGGCCAGTGGGAAGGCTTTCTGACTCGCTCCCCATTTGCCCTTGCAGCTCTGGATCTTGGTGTTGGGAGCTGTGTTTGGTTTCTCCTCTTACGGTCCCATTGCCTTGTTTGGAGTCATTGCCAATGAGAGCGCCCCTCCCAACTTATGTGGCACCTCCCATGCTATCGTGGGACTGATGGCCAACGGTGAGTGCGATGCCTTCACCTCACCCCCCTCTTGTGCTTGTAAGTCCCACTGGCTGCCACCTCACGAATCTCCTTTCTGACAGTGGGCGGCTTTCTGGCTGGGCTTCCCTTCAGCACCATTGCCAAGCACTACAGCTGGGGCACGGCCTTCTGGGTGGCTGAGCTGGTTTGCGCAGCAAGCACCGCTGCCTTCTTCCTGCTACGAAACATCCGCACCAAGATGGGCAGAGTGCCCAAGAAGGCTGAGTGAGGGGAGTGCAGGCTCTGGGGCACACCCCCACCCCCCAAACACACATCTGTGGTCTTTTCCCTGTGCACAGTAGGGATGCAGAGGAAGGGGGCTGCCCTGGCTGGGACTGAACCTTTGACCAGATCTGGCCTTTTCCCTGGCCCAGGTGGCACTGGAAGCTCTCAGTGGCTAATGAGGTACCAGCTCCCCCCTCCCTATGCTCTATTTAAGTAACTTTTGTCTTTGGACCCCATTAGCTCCTATTTCCTGCCTTCAAACAAACAGAAAACCCCTGCAGCCAAGGGAGTCTCTTGTGGCTGCCCTCCTCTGCTGGGCCCTGTCCCATCCCATTCTACCAGACCCACCTGAGTGGGACTGTCCCTGCAGCCACAGGGCACATTCATGGCCAGTGACTTCTGCTGTGCCCTAAGGCCACTTAGCAGTGGGCAGCCACTCTTGCCAATACCTCAGCCTCCAGGGGAAGACAGGAGGCCAGTACTCCTGCATCCAGCAGGCGTGTGGGTGGGGAGTAAGAGGGCTTGTTATAGAAGATTAAAACTAGATTTGATACTAAGCACTGTCTTTGGATTTTCTTTTTAAAAGGGAGATATAGAGGTGGGCTTTGGCCTTATGGTTAAGTCACTAGTTGGAGGCCTGCAGTTCACGTCAGGGTTTTTGCTTTTGAATCCTGGCTGCATTCTCAATCCCAGCTTCCCACTAATGGACACCCTGGGAGGTAGTGGGGAAGGCTCGAGGGGCTGGGCAGCAGCCACACTCAGGGGAGGCCTGGGCTGTGTTCTTGGTCCATGGCCTCTGTTCTAGTGGGGCTGCTGCATGCATTTGGGCAATGAACCAGCAGACAGGAGATCTCTGGATTCTTTTAGAAAGGATGGGGGAGGGGGCATAACCTAAACCAGAGACATTGCTTGGGAAGTATTCTGTCAATATCTGCACTTTCCATCCCTAAATTAAGCTCATGCCTCCTTCACCTTCAATTGAACACTGCATAATCAGTCAGAAGATCATGTCAGAGATATAGCGGCTGTACTATGGTAAGTTAAATTGCTTCACAAGAGAATAGCACAATAGTGGTGAAAGCCTGGATCCCAGCTCAGGCTGTTAGCAACCAGAATGGGGACACTGAGGCAGACAGCATGTACCTGGCTAAATTTTCACCTGTAACATAATGTACCCCTGGGATTAGGGTGAGGATTGAGAGATAAAAAGCAGTGAAGTCTTGCAGTAAGTGCCAGATAAATACTCCATCATCCTTCCTACTTCCAAGGACTCCAGGAACCAGGAGCAATTCTGGACTAGCTCCAAGCTTCATGATGCCAAATCTTAATATTTGTTCATTTAATGAACATGCTTGTTTTGTTTTCTACCAGAATACAGTTCTCATCTTCCCAGAACCCCCTTGCCATGTCTGTCTCCCATCCCATGCCTTTTCGCCACCCCAGATCACTAGAAGAGCAAACACTCAGACCAAAGAAATGTTTATTCCAGCATGAATGGGCTTACCACCTGCATAAATAAGTCTGTATGTACAACGCTGGGAGGTAGGACCATGATATATACACAAGGGAACAGGGCATGGCCAAGGCTTGGGATTGGCACAGGTTGTCATGCTCCATTGTCCCATTTTCAAGTATGCTAATGAGGTTGGGAATGCAAACAGCAGGGATCTCTCAGATGGGGGTCGGGAGAGGCAGGGATCCACTTTGGATTCTGCTCAAGACCCAGGTCCAAAAGTGCCAGCCTTCTCTGCTACTTCCAGGGCTAGCTTCAGGTTCTGATCGAACAGCTCACACCTAAGCCAAGCCCAGGAGACATAAATGAGGAAGCATGAGACCCGAAAGAGAAAAATAAATACATACGTACGTACATACATAAATAAATAAAACAAAAAGTGTGAGACCTGAAACTCCCTTCTGTGGGATCAGAGGCAATTGGAGGGAACTCCACTGGAATGAGGGAGCTATGAACGCCAAAGGAAGTATGGATTCTTCAAATAAATCAAGAGCTAGTAATCACTGTTGCCTTAACTTAAGTTATGCTCTACATTTCACATTGCCCTGTGGAGAGCACGTGGCTTTCAATCATGTGCTAAGGGAGCAGGACCACCTACCTGATGGGCATTTCCAGGGAGTAAAATGGGTTCTTGAGAGCAAAGTCTGAGTATATCTCATAAATTTTTCGGAGAAGGGAATCTATGCCAGCTTGCCTGGGATCTGCCAGCACCACAAACTTGATCCCTGCAGAGAGGTCAGGAATGGTTGACTCAGACAGAGAGAGAGAATGCAGCTAGTCACGTCACCTTACATTTGTACAGAACTTTCGATTTTGAAGTGTGCTATCCCAATCCCTTTTCTGTTGAATCCTTATTGGTACATAAAGCAGGCAAGGCAAAACTTGGAATCTTGGCTGGGACCAGAGCCTCATGAAGTGAAGCGAATTATCCTTCACCCAGCTGAGACGCGAGTTCCAGCTCCACCACGCACTTCCAGTCTCCAACTGCCTCAACAGAAACTGCACCAGAGGGCACACACACAGGAGCGAGCTTGTGACCTGCGTTAATGGAGGAAAGCAACAACACTCTGGATCCAAAGGCCATCTCCACTTGGCTTTCAAACTTGATTAGGAAACAACACATCTAAAACGTGCAGTATGGGCCAACACTTTTATCAGAACATACGCCAATCAAGGCTGAACACACTGGGTTGACGTGGAGACAGTCAGCTTCAAATCCAATACTGCCTTTGGGGTCTCAGAACAAAAAGACCAGAGGGGCTGAACCCCCACTCCCAAAGCAACAGCCAGCCTTCTCCCTCACCTGGCTCCGCTTTCTCTGGCCTGTCCAAGACACCTACCTGTCAGTGTCTGGAAGCAGTGCAGCTTGAATGTGTCCGTCTCCAGCATTTCGATGCCTGAGCTTCCCTGTTCAGGAGACAGCTGGGAGCCAATGGCAAACAGCCTAGAAGCGGAAGAGGCACAGCCGGGAATGTATCCCGAAGCTGTGGGACGGGAGTGTTTCTCAAACCTTTTCACTGACATGACTCTATCTGCCGCATCTGGGACAACCAGGAGGGAAAGTAGGAACAGCTTAGGAACAGTGTCCAAAACTTTTGAATTTATATGAGTCCTGCAGGTGTTTTACATCACATATATTTATAAAATAGTTATTTACTCATCTACGAGGCAGAGTCAACAGAGGAAGAGACACAAAGAGGGCGTCCATTGGCAGGGCTACTCCTTAAAAGGTAGCAGGGCTGTGGGTGGGGCAGGAGGCTAGAACTGCCCCCTGGTCTCCCACATGAGTGGAGTTAGGACTGCAGAGTAGCTGGGTCTCAAGACTCTCCAACTAGTGCTGGCGTGTGTAGGTCCTGTTACATATCACATATTTTCCCATGAAACAATGCAAACTTTTATAGCACAAGCACTCTGGAAAAACGTGTCATGCTGATTTTGCTCAATAGCCAGCACAGCTTAGTACCATAGTTGAGAACAGGAAATGATTTTGAAACAGTTCAACTTTAGAGATAAAGAACCTTAGGCTCACAGAACAGAAGCTGACTTAACTATGCTCATACCACTGCCGGTATTACCAGAAAAACCTAGGCTTACTGGGTTAGTGGCCTTCCTAAGAACTCCTGGCTTAAGTGCAGTCAGAGAAAGGCACTGCAACCCAGGAGACCCACACACATCTAGATAACCTGCGAGCCAAGTGCAGCTCAACAGGTACGAGGAAGGGTCGAGGGACTTACGAGTGGAACATGGAGGCCAGCATGAGCTTCTCATTGGAGGTGAGGCGAGGCCGGCCGAAACGAATGGACACGGGGTAGTTAGCAGGATTACCCAGATATTCCAGTACCTCCTTGCCATCGGCCGTGTACTTGCCGTTCACGTCCGCGCCATTAATGGCCAGCACTGCGTGGCCCACTGCAGGGGGTGAGGCTGAGTCAGCGAAGCTGCAGCCCCGCGGTTCCGCCGAGGCGACAGGACACGCGGTCGCGCCGCCTCGACCCCCACCCCGGCGCGTCAGCCCACTCTCAGGACCCCCGGGCCGGAGCCTCGCCCACCCCGGATGCCGTCACGCTGGCCGAAGGCCACCAGCACGCGTTCGTCATGTAGCTTGAGCAGCAGATCCAGCGGGTAACTGAACGTTTTCTCAGCCTCGGCCCGCGGCGCGTAGCTGTCCAGCTGATAAATCAGGCCGCCAGCTTTGTTCACCACATACACGCTAAATATCGCCATCGCTGCCGCGCTTCTCCCGCTGACAGACCCGCCCCGCAGGCGTCGTCACGTGACCCGGCCCCGGCGGGACCCCCCCCCGGTGCGCAGCTCCCGTGGCGCCTGCGCACTTGGGTTGCTACAGGCCGGCGGGAGGGGCCTTCGCAGCAGGACTTCCGCGCGAGGTCCCGCCTCCTGCTCCGGAAGTCCTCGCGGCGGGTGGAGGTTTCGGGGCCTGACGCGATCTGGGACTTCCTTTTTGTCCGACATCTTGCAGGTCTGAGGTGGTCGCCGCTGGGCTCCGCACCTCGCCATGGTAAGCAGCGAGCTGTGCCGCCGAGGGTCTCCTGAGCGAGCCGGGCCGAGCGGGGGGCGCGGGGAGGACGTGTCCTGGCCAGGCCTGGCGGCCAGACGGCCGCAGGGAGCGTCTCCCCCACGTGCTCGGGCACCGGGCGCGGCGGCCGCGCTCACACCTGCCCGCCTGCTCTCCGCAGCCACCCAAGGACGACAAGAAGAAGAAAGACGCCGGGAAATCGGCCAAGAAGGATAAGGACCCCGTGAACAAATCGGGGGGCAAGGCCAAGAAGAAGGTAGGAGGGCGCGGGAGCAAGGGTGCCCTTGGCGCGCCGTGGGAGCGCGGGGTGTATGGAGGTAATGGTGTCGGCCTCGTGCCGTCCGCAGCCCGTCGTGGCTTGCTTATCGTCCTGTTTGTTTCTGAGCAGAAGTGGTCCAAAGGAAAAGTTCGGGACAAGCTCAACAATCTGGTTCTGTTTGACAAAGCCACGTACGACAAGCTCTGCAAGGAAGTTCCCAACTACAAGCTCATCACGCCCGCTGTGGTCTCCGAGAGACTCAAGATCCGTGGGTCCCTGGCCAGGGCAGCCCTGCAGGAGCTCCTGAGTAAAGGTGACCGAGCCTGTGAAAGGCTGCTGGGTGTCCTAGTTGATAACCTAACCACTGTAACGTATTTTCTGACATTTCGGGGTCTTAGTTGTGTCTGAGAGGCAGAGGCATATCGTTGGCTGGTTTACTCCCCAGGTGACTGCCTCAGCCGGTCTGAAGGCAGGAGCCCAGGGAGGCAGCCTTGAGCTCCAAATCCCAGGTCCGAGTTTCACCTAGCGTGGTCAGCTCCAAGCAGCACTGTTTTCAGGTTCTCTCTTTGCCGGTGGGAGTAGGGGGAGGTAAAAGAAAGCAGTTAACAGATAAACTGGTTCATTCCCCTAAATGACTGTAATGGCCACAGTGGTCAGGCCAAGACCAGAATCTTCATCTGGATCTCCCACAAATATGGTAGGGACTCAAGCGCTTGGGCCACGCTCCGCGGCTTTTCCCAGGCACTTTATATATTTTAATTGAAAATTACGGTAGAAAGAGATGGTGATCTTCCATCTGCAGATTGTCCGTGGTGGCCAGAAGCTTTTCCCTATCTTCCATGTCGTTGCAGGGGTGCAAGCAGTGAGGATCAGCCTCCACTGCTTGGCCAGGTCATCAGCAGGATGCTGGATCAGAAGTAGTGAAGGCAGGACTAGAACCATACAGCACCATATAGAGTTTCAGTACCTTAGTTAATCTATTAGTTTCACTGGTGATAGTAAGAAAATTGAGGGCCTTTAATAGCACCCCCCCCAAAAGGTAATTGTTAACCCACTGAGTTACTAGTAGGGCCCAGTTGGTTAAAACTCAGCCTCGCAATTGCCAGGACTGCATAATATCCCAGCTGCTTCACTTCCCATCCAGCTCCCTGCTTGTAGCCTGGGAAAGCAGTCGTGGATGGCCCAAAGACGTGGGACCCTGCACCCATTTGAACAGTGGCCATTTGAACAGTGAGCCAGCAGATACAAAATCATTTGACTATGAATCTGCCTTTCCAATAGAAATGTCATTACAGCTTCAGAGGGAATAGAAAACTTATTAAGCATTCTCCTGGCACTACTGTGTAAAATATTGTTATCCTTTCCCCCCAGGACTTATCAAACTGGTTTCAAAGCACAGAGCTCAAGTAATTTACACCAGAAACACCAAGGGTGGAGATGCACCAGCTGCTACTGAAGATGCATGAAGCGGTGAGAACCTGGGAATTCGAGGTGGAGGAAGTACACACACGTTCTTCACAAGGATTCTCATGCTGCTTTTAATTTTTTTTTTACAGGTGCAATGAATTGTACATTTGGCAAAATAAAACCTTATTAAATCAAACTTGGATATGTATGTTTCTTAAAGGCAACTGGGAAAAGCATCTGAAATTGATTAGGTTTTTTCTTTATGTGGTAGCTGTTTCTTTGCAGCTGCCTCAGTTTTGAATTGATGCCTGGAAGGAAACAAAGGGTTAATAGAATGCAGGATGGGTTTTCTCCAAGCAGTAGTGGGTTACTTTGGCGGACCCCTACCTGGACTGCCAGCGTCTTCCATTATTCCAGACCCTGCCGAAAGATGGCAGCCAGCCTGCACCAGTGCTAGAGTTGTGGTCAAAGTTGGCCCCAACTCTGTCAGGTGGGAGTTTCTTCAATTTCTCCTTTTCCTCTGCAATGATGAGGAAGGTTTTTACTGAGTTTCAAAGAACCCTGTTCCCTGGTGAAGCTGGCTTGCTTACTTACTTTCTTTAAGGAATTCTTCATAGGAAGGCCCGATTTGTTTGTTCCCAGAGCTGTAGTCTTCATCTTGGACCATCCAGGGAGGTGTAGCGCCTGGGAAAGGAAAGACTATTAAGGTTTGTTGTGCCCTAGCTGACTGCTCGCCTCACCTGCTGTGAATGATGGGACTTACCAGGTTCCAGGGTTTAGGGAGACCTTAAGACTCTTAAGTAACTTTCAGGCATGGTTGCACTGCAGCTGCCATCCCCCATTTTCTCCTACCCCACTAAGATCCTTACTGTTCCAGATTGTTTATTAGCTTCCTTACTAGGGGAGCACTGGAGTCCCCAGGCTTTTAACCATTTTGAGACCCACCCCTTTTAAATGCAGCAGCAGCTCATCCTGGGCTCAGGTGTTTGGGACTGTGGTTGATACATTGTATAAATCACCTGAACCCCAGAGCAGAGCGTCTGGGAGTTCCAGCTGCACTCTGGATTTCCAGTTCATGTGCATCTGGAGAAGCAGGCAAGTCTGCTATCGGGGAAATCTGGGCTGAGCTGGGCTCCAGGCTTTTTGGGCTTTGAGGCTGAGAATCAGCAGAAGGAAGGCATCTTTGCCTTAATTTGCAGCTACTCTAAAGCTGTAAGGATTTAGGTAGAGTGGTAAATAGAATTGCTAGACTGTATAACTAGGTATATGAGGAACTGTTTTTAAACTGCATTTCTACCAACAGTATGTGATGGTTCCATACACATATAATCAGTTATTCTAATACGTTCGCTTTCAAATGTGTGTTTCCCTGATGGTAAACATTCACAGGCTTTTATTGAGTTGGTTGTGTGTGTGTGTGTGAACTCTACTGTAGTTGCCTTTTTTTGTTTAATTGCATCTTAGAAATGCTGCCCTGGGGCCCAGCATTGTAGCCTAGTGGCTAAATCCTCGCCTTGCACACACCAGGATCCCATATGGGTGTTGGTTCGTATCTCGGTGGCCCTCCTTCCCATCCAGTTCCCTGTTGTGGCCTGGGAAAGCAGTCAAAGACGGCCCAAAGCCTTGGGACCCTGCACCCACATGGGGAACCCAGAGGAGGCTCTTGGCTTCTGATTGGTGTAGCTCTAGCTGTTGCACTTGGGGAGTGAATCAATGGACAGAAGAGCTTCCTCTGTGTGTCGTTTCCTCTATATATCTGACTTTCCAATAAATAAAATCTTTAAGGGAAAAAAAAAAAACACTGTCCTGAACCTTACCTGAGTGGACGTTACCAACTCCTGGCATTTCCTGTGGTTAGGAATGGGAAAATAGGAAAATACCAGTTAGATGCGTATTATATTTGAAAAGAATGCAGATTTCTAAGGTGGCTGCAACTGCTGCTTTTAGAGCACAGAGGTACTGGCATGGTAGCCTAGCAGTTAAAATCCTTGCCTTGAAGGCACCGGGATCCCATATGGGTCCCAGTTCTAATCCTGGCAGCCTCGCTTCCCATCCAGCTCCCTGCTTGTGGCCTGGGAAAGCAGTCAAGGACGGCCCTAAGCCTTGGGATCCTGCACCCACATGGGAGACCCAGAAGAGGTTCCTAGCTTCTGGCTTCGGATATGCTCAGCTCCAGCCACTTGGGAAGTGAATCAATGGATGGAGGATATTCCTCTCTGCCTCTCTTCCTCTCTGTATATCTGACTTTGCAGTGGGAATAGGTGCCCACAGTAAGTCATCAGAGTCCTGGCCTCAAGTGGTTATATCCAGAAGTCACATGCCTACTACCAACAGGTGAATATGCCCTGCCCCGTCAAGAGCATGCCTATGGTTAAGAGGATTAACCATAAATTACATTTGCAGATTGATTTTTTTTTTTTTTCACCAGTTCATTTTGCCTTTATTTTTTTAAACACCAGTTAGTTCCTTTCACTTTGTAGGGCACAGTATTAGATCATCTGAACCACATCACAAACCAGTGAGTTTATGTTTCCAATCCTATGTGCAACCTGATAAAATTAACATCAGAAGTATTGATGTACTTGTCCAAGTTAACATGGTTCACATGATGGCATTTAGGGCTACAGATGTAAAGCTGGGGGACTTTTTGCCCTCATTACTTATACTTAACACAGAATATTCTTGCAATAAGAAATGTGGGGTTTCCCTGAAAGGTACAAATTAATTGTCAAGTAGACATAGCTGAATTTCCCAAAATTAAACTCAATTCTATTTATCTGGAGAGTGTTGGACCTCCAAGGTTAAAGGTTGAGGCCCCTAGACTGCTTCCCAGTTCATACACTGATTACAAATAGTAGGTTGCTATAGATCAAGGTTTTCACTATTTTTTTTTCTTTTTAAAAACTAAATTGAGGGCTTGACACGGAGACTCACCTTGAATGTGCCAGGATCCCATATGGGCACCGTTTTTTTTTTTGTTTGTTTGTTTTTTTTTTTTATTGTTGCTTACACTGTATTATGTAGTACAGTTTTATAGGCGCTGGGGATTCCCCCCACCCCTCCCATACCCCTCCCCCCATGGTGGATTCCTCCACCTTGTTGCATAACCATAGTTCAAGTTCAGTTGACAGATTGATTTTTTAAAAGATTTGTTTATATTGGTAAGGCAGATTTACAAAGAGGAGAGACATCTTCCATCTGCTGGTTCATTCCCCAAGCGGCCACAATGGCCAAAGCTGAGACAATCTGAAGCCTGGAGCTGGGAGCTTCCGGGTCTCCCATGCAGGAGCAGGGTCCCAAAGCTTTGGCCCATCCTATGCTGCTTTCCCAAGCAGACAGTGGAGTAGCTGGGACACAAACAGGTGCACGTATGGTATGCCAGTGCGTGCAAGGCAAGGATTTGGTCACTAGGCTATTGCACCAGGTCCAGTTCATCTTTAAGACACTGTTAATTGTTCAGATAAGCCTTCTGTGGCAGTGTTAGCATTTAACCCAAAAGTTGACGGGTGCTGAGGCAAATGTGTGGAAGCAGCGAGCAGCAGAGTATGTGGGCAGAATGGAGTAAAAGTGCAGGTGATGAAGTGTGTTTCTGTATGGGATGTGGGAGTGTTCTAAGACTGCACAGAGGCTAACAGGGGGTACAGTTAGACATAGCATGTGGGAGGTGAAGGAAGGAAGAGGTAAAGATCTGTACTTATGGTGACTTGGAATGTACTAGTTTTGGGGGCAGTTTCAATTGCTTGCAGTGCCCCTATAAATGTCAAGCTGGGTCATGAGTTCTACAGAGGACAAGAGGTCTTAATAGAAGACTGGGAACAGTACAACAGGAAGTCAAAGGTTAGAGGGAGCTGGTGTTGTGCAGTCCAGCTGTCTGCAGTGTGCTGGGGAAAGATGGCCCAAGTGTCTGGGCCCCTACTACCCGTGTAGGTATTGATACCTGGATGAGGCTCTCGGCTTTGGGCTCAGCTCTGGCCATTGTAACCACCTGAGGAGTCAACTCAGGTTCATTGTCCCTCTCTAATTCTGAAATTCAAATAAATAAACACTTGCCAAAAAATGCAGAGAGGAATGACCAGAATAGATAGAAAAATCAAAAGGGTGTCCTGGAACCTGAAGAGCCTGGCCTGTTGGTATATCCACCATACCTGATGGCCAATGAACGTCAGAGGTTGTTGGGTCTCTGTCCAATCAAGCTCTGGAGCTGGTGGCAGTGGCAGGTCCAAATATGAGGGCTGCTGTGAGCTGGAGGCCACTTGGCTGCAAGACAGACAGGAGCCAGGCCGGCAGATGAGGTCCCTGAGCCACAGCAGACGGCAAAGGTGACAGCTGCTGCCATTTCCCGGCCAGAAGGTGAGAGTTTCCTCAGAGATGTCCAACTCTCAACAAGAGTTCTTCAGTCATACCTGTGTGCTCCTTGCCAACTCTTAGGTGCTGAAGAGCCCTCTTCTGGGTCTGGTGTTGTCTGAGGCTGAGTTTGATTCAGGAAAAATAGATGTATCCAGAATGCTTAAGAGAGCCTGCCTGGTCCACGCACCCCCATCCAGGATCATAAGGAACACTGACAGAGGGAGGCTATTGCCTGTCTGCAAACTGCCCCCGTCACTGACTAGGCCTGCCCCTTGGGACACAGGGAGAGGAATTCCAGCCAAGCAGATGAGGAATGGGGTAGAAGAGCCAGTTTGTGAAATGCTGGACCCGGGAAAGCCAGGCATCAGTGGATTTGGATACTGCTCTGGATCCTCCGAGTGAGACCAACCTCTAAGACAGATCGAACCACCTCCTGCCGGCTCTGCTCCACCTCCCGGATGTGAGCTGCCATCTGTAGGAGAGGAAGCTTAGACAGGGTGCTGGAGCTGGGTCCTTCAGAGACCCTCCCTCTAACTTACCTCTTTGATCACCTCGTCTTCTTTTTCTTCATAAGAATCCAAGCCTTTCACCATGGATTTTCTAAATCTAGAAAGACAAACAACCAGTCAGCTCAGAACCTAGCCCCTCCTAGTTGTGATTTTTTGGGGGGAGATGGGATAAACTCAGTATAATCAAAGCCTATGTTCCTCCCACTCAGATTCACTGTGAACATTCTGATACACTGGCTCTTCTTTTACAGACACATACTTCCTTTTTAGGGAAATAAAACTTTAGAAAATAATGAAATTAGAAAATAAAATAAGGATTTAGAAATCAGGAGACAGAACC